GCTAAGTAGGGAAGTTGATGGTGGTGGTGAAATTGATGAATGGCAGGAGTTTAATGAGTGGCGGTACTCATTGGAGATGAAGCTGTGACACCCATAATGATGAAGCTCAACAGTGGTGGAAATGGAGGAGGAGGGTAGTGGATGAAGAGATGCATGAGCAGGTGGATGTATGGTTAGGGAGACCATAAAGGAGGTGGGGGCAAAAAATGTCTTTTTACATGTTGTAATCCTCATTCATATGTCCCACTATTGTAATCCCCATTATATTAATTACTTTAGGTAATTAACATTACAAAATATAATCTTATTTACGTTACAAAACCCAAACCAAAAAAATTAATTAACCATTAGCGTTATGATTATATGTAATTCCGATTCTTGTCATCCAACCAAACATGCCACTAGTGTTTGTAACCAAAGGAAATGGAGTGGTGATTTCTATGAGAAAATCATCAATCTAAGTAAAAGAGAAAGAGAGAGGTTGAAGCTTCCATTTGAATTTGGAATTTGGAAGAGATGGGTAAAAATAGAAAGAGAAACGTGTCTGGAAAAAGAGTAGAAAGTGGAGAGATTAGAATTTAGAAAAGATGAATGGGAGGATGGAACGAATCTTGAAATTTGAAATACTAAGCCCAAAATCAACCTATAATAATAAATAAAAATCAACCGCTAGCCGGCTTATTTTCACCTCCATATTAGCTCTTCACTCAAAATACTATTTTATGAACAGTAATAACTTATGAACAATAGCAACTTATTTATTGGGCTGCGTGCATTTTTCATTTTGTATATGACACGCTTTTTCAAATATCTGTGTAAAGTAAAGGGGAAAATGACAGATAAAGAAACCTAAAAATGTGAAATGCCAAAATAGGAAGCTTAGCAAATGCATTGACAAATTAGGAAGTGTTGCCTAATGGGGGATTATGCAAATCTTGATTAATTACCAAAAAGCCCTTGTATGACCTAAATAAGCAACATTTTTGGTGGATAGATGAAAAGTGTGGCGGGAGCTAGGGGAAAAAGTTGGAAGGGACTATGAACGTAGGAGCATGAACGTGTGAAGTAAGACTTGAACGAAGTAAGCAAGTGAGGTTAGTATTCAATGACTATATTCTTCTTCTCTTTCTTTTCTCTGTCTCTTTTATGCACTGATTCATGTTCTTCTTCCTGTTGGATGGGAATGTCGTCGATGTGAGGCTGGTTTTGAGGTGGAGAGGGTGGCGAAGCAAGGATATGGTGTAGGTATATAGAACTTGTAGGGAAAGATGGTAATCAGAGGGTAAATATACGGGGAAGCAAAAACATTGAGGGAGAGGGGTTTTATGGCCTCACAAATGGGTCAAAGTGATTAGTGTTAAATAAAGGCACAATGTTGAAGGGGGATTCAAATAATAGAGTGGATTGATTCTGAGAAAATGAAGTATGAGTGTGGACAAGAAAGAAATGAGTGTTTTGTTGCAAATTATAAGCATGAATGTGTCAAACCCTAATCTGGTCGTGTAAGTTGATGATGATGGTATTATGTTGGTGAAATTGAAGTGATAAGCTAAATGTTAAGTCATATAATCATTCCAATTCTATTATCCGTGCAAGTGATGAAACAAAATGAATTTTGAAGCTCGGTTATCTTATGGGAAGGAGCTGTTCTATTATTTTCATGTGGGAGAAAAATTTGTGACAAATGGTCAAGGTAAAGTGAGATATAATGGAGGTAGCATGATGTTAAGAAGCATTAAGGATGGGCTAACACTTGAAGAATTGAGGCTAATGATATGTAAGTGGATTGGTGGTGATGGAAGAAATTATGACATTAAGTACACAGTGGCCTTTGATGAGAAGACATTGATTGACCTTCATGACAATGCTGAAATGTATAACTTTTTTCAATACAACGAAACAACGGTCATGTGTATGTGGCTGAAAAAGGGTGGGGGGATCCCCAACCAAGGAACAATACATAAAGGTAAGTGGAAGTTTATCCTAACTATTGTCGTTTATGAATTTCATCTTGTCATTCATGTTAACGACTCTTGTCATTGTGAATGCAGAATAGAGAGATTCATTGGTATGTCACAGCAAACGAAACTGGATGCGTCCTCCATTAGTTTGTGTTATGATTATGGCTGGCTTAGTGAAGAACATACTAGTAAATGTGACAATGATGGAGGAAGTAGGCCCCCTAATGTGGATACATCCATCGAAGTTGAAGATATATATGGTAGTGAGATAAGCAGTGTGAGGACAGGGACTTTTTACAAGGGTGGGTCAATGTTTTCCAAGTACAGATGCATTTCAAGTGTTTGCATACAAGTTTGCACCTGCACACAAGTTTGTGCCTAAGTATGTGAGGAATAACAAGGAATTCATGTCGATGAGGTGTAAAGTTGAAGGTTGTTTATGGAAGTTATGTGCAAATCATGTGGGGAAGAGTTGTGACATGCTACGAGTGATGATATTTATAAATTGGCATGTTCATTCTGCCCAAGATAGCTTGGAATTGATGCATAGTGAAAGAGCTAGTTTGAACTCATCAATAATAATTGATGAGATGAGGGATCATATAGATAAGTGCACTTTTGAGATAAGGAAGAAGTTGAAATGAGAGTATGGGATTGATCTAACATATAAATAGGCTTATAGAGCAAAAGAGAAGTCGTTGGAAGACATATATGGTAGGCCTAAACAATCATACATGCTCATACTATAGATATGCCAAAGGCTAAAGGAAACAGATGAGAAAACCATGGCTAAAAGGATTGCTATTGGGAATTAGTTTAAGCATGTTTTCATAGCCTAGGGTCATGTATTGAGGGTTTCTTAAATGATGCGAAGCATATTCTGTATGTTGATAGAACTCACTTAAGCGGACCATACAAGAGGACAATGTTATTAGGTTCAACTTATGATGTAGATAACAAGCTGCTGTCATTGCAATTGCAATTGTTAAGGGAGAAATACTAGATGATTGAACATGGCTTTTCTATATGATAAAAAAAATTTAGAGTTTTGTGAAAGTGACGATTTTATCAGATCGACACAATGCTATCATCGTAGGAATGGCATCAATCTTTGGGGGTCAAAGGTATGCCTTTTGTTATAGACACATTAAGAAGAATTTTAGTTTAGAAGTTATGAAAATGAATAAGTGGCAACCAAGAACAAATGACCGACCAAGGAGGATGCACTGCATTTATTGGATAAAATTGCATATGCAACGATGGATGAGAAATTTGAGGTAGCAATGGATGACATGAGAGCCTTTTCTCCAAGGCTATTTGATTGGCTTATTAATCATGGGGATGTAGATAGGTGGGCCAGAAGTAGGTTCCTATATAAAAAATGGGACAATATTACAAGTAATATTGAAGAATCATTCAACGCATGGATAGTCAATAAGAGAAAGCATATTGTGCCCCAGTTGATCCATGAGCACCGAGAGAAAGTAGCAAGAAAGCTGCATGCCTCCTATATGACTATGACCAAATGGAAGAATTGTGTTGGTCCAAATATAGACAGTAAGGTGATGGATATAATGGCTGGGTCTGAGCATATGTATGCTGAAAATTATGGTGGGGAAAGAGCAAAGGTGATAACATCACGTGGAGAGTATCGGGTTGATCTTGGACTACACCAATGCAGTTGTAGATCTGGGCAAATGACGGGGATCCCTTGTTGCTATGCTTGTGTAGCCATCAAGGTTGTCCATGGCAATGTTTATGATTATGTTGATAATTGCTATAAAAAGTCATCACAAGAAAATATTTATGCTCACAGTATGATTCCTGTGGTAACAACAGACATGCCTTACCCAAATGATTACTATAGGATAGGAAATGCTGGTGAGTAAATATTCTTGCCACCTCCCATAACATCTCAACCATTAGGAAAGCCAAAAACAAATAGGGATGAATCACAATTCCAGAACAAATGGATATACTAATGTGGAAGATGCCACTAACCTGGACACACAAGGAGGAATTGCAGAAATCCTAGCCCATCATAAAGTTTCGAGTATAGTGGAGATGTGTCATTTTTTGGTGTACATAGTTGTATGCTCCACCCTTATCAACTTTTTTAGACCGGGGTTGTAGTTAGGAGCTAGGTACAGACACTTTTTTTGTAAGTAAGGTGATAAAAATATCAGTGACAAGGAAGCATTAAGTTTAGCCAATATCTTAATGTGCACTTATCATTGAATACATGAAAGCAAGTTACTGTTATAGAGATGTTATCTTTTGTTAATGACGCATTAGTTGTTGTCATTTTCAAATTTGTTTTGGTTATTGGTAGTGATGTAATCAGCTTAATCTGACAATTTATGTTAAACTGATGTTATTTATGAAGATCAGGTTATGTCATCTTGATTGTTGTTATATTCGAATTAGTTTTTGTAATTTTCAAATTTGTTTTGGTTATTGGCATTGATGTAAGTAGCCTAATCTAACAGTTTATGTTAAATTGATGTTATGTATGAAGATCAGGTTATGTCATCTTCATTGTTGTTATATTCGAATTGGTTTTTGTCATTTTCAAATGGATACCAACATGACATATTGAAGTAAAAATGAGTGACTTCAAAAGAAATGGAAACAACAACACATTTCTAACGTGGCTGTTGTTATCATCTGTTTTTGTGTGGTTAAACTTAGATTCATTAATGTCACTGGGGAATAAATTGGCATCATGCATCTCAACATTCATAAATTTACGGACACCAATCTCTGTGAAGCATAAGAATATGTTCATTCACATGGTAGAGTACACATTCGGTCAACCTACAATGCACATTACATACAGCAATCTAACAAAAAACAAGTGAATTATCAGCCTAACATTGAGACACCTAGGACAGATACCTATTATTTGACTTTCTTCTCTTGGTTAGTTGTGGTTGTCGAATAAGATCCAATGCCTCGTCACGGTTGTCATTCATTTCATGATTCACCAACCATCATGTCAGGTCATGACGAAAGCCAACAACTTATTCCTCTGTGTAGTTAAGGGTCACACCAGGTTCCCATCTTCTCAGTCACATCATGCAATGCAACCCACAATCCCTCCTGTGGATATAACAATATCAACATAGTTAGTTAACGTCTTTGACATGTTCATTTACCACACAAAATTTGAAATTGACAAGACTGACAGGTTATTCTACTGAGGAGCTTCTACAAATATTGTTTCAAACATTGGCTTTTTCCCAACCAGTCCTAGCTTGACCAAGTCCAAGATAATATTAAACCTCTTCCTTTGCAAAGAGATTCAGGTGTGGTTCACCATGCTTCAGGACCAACATAGAAAGTTGAATGATTTTAAAAGTTCAAAAACTAAGGTAAACACAATAAGTTTTTTCTTACACATTCATCCACAGCTATTTCTACTGGGTCCTTAATGACAACCTTCTTCTTCTTTTTCATGTCCTTAGCTTCAAAATGGTCACTGATGGAGTCTAATACGTGGAAATCCAATGTGCTAGGTTGAATGGCAACGCAAAACCAGTGTTGGCCAACAAGAGCAAGACTAATTATGAAATCACATTCACCTAAGTTGTAGCCAACAAACTCAGGAAGAAAGAGCTTCTTACATTTTTGGGCTTTCTAGGTCAGGTCATGTGCCATCATGTTCTGTATGACATTAAATTGTTAATCCATTAACAAAGAACAAGTCATTTCCAATTCCATTGTTGTCATTGGTATTTGGACTTGGAATTAAGTAACCTTACCATGAAATCCACATTGAAGATGTGCCTCTTCCCTGGCCCCAACTCTACCTTCATGTCCTCTATCATTGCCTTGCACGCCAAATTAAGCACCTATATTGCACAGTGAAAACATCATTCTTACACAATAATCTCACCAAACATTAGCAAACATAAGCATAGGTGCAGACACAGAGCATTCAAAAATACCCTGTTATTTACTCTGTTCACTCTACCCAGGAAAAACAGCTGTTATTGGTCTATATCTTCATCAAATATTTTAATGATAGTCTCGCAAACATTGTCAGATGTCAGTAACAGAAAGTATAATATTGGGGGTATCATCACTTGTCATCCCTATATAGTTTATTGTTATTATCAGTTCGATTGCTATCATTGTCAGTACATATCATGTCATTTAAAACTCAGGCTAACCAGGGATATACTTATTTCTTTGCCTCCTCCTCATTCTTGGGTCTACGGGATATTAAAGTGAAAAAAATTTCCCTTTCCTCCTTTGGCTTCTTTGTCCTCGGAGCTACCTTGAACTCCATCCATGGAGATTTAATTGTGAAACTCTTTACCCTTGTTGACCTCCTCAGTTCAGTAGATTTTTCAAGTCCTGCTTCCTCCCCACTGTCATTGCTCTCCCATTCATAGTCCAACAACAAAGGAATATTGGTAGGGGTTGCAGTCTTTGCATGTGTGCCTTCCTCACCCTCATCATATGAATCCTCAACCTCCTTATCGTCATCTTCCGCCTCTTCAACCACATAGTCATGACCTCCTTCCTTGTCATCATGGTCATCCTCGTCCTCATCGTCATCGTCATCACCTCCACGACCATCACAATCACCCTCATCTTCCACCTCCTCAACCATGTAATCATGACCGCCTTCCTTGTCATGAAGGTCATGTTCTTCTTCATCCTCATCCTTCTCATCATCTCCTTTACTGGTGTCATTCTCATTAAGTTCCTCATCCCCACTTCCCGCTACAACCTCTCTTGTAATCTTCTCCATTACTCGGTCAACGTCTTCAACTTCTTCAGCAACGTTACCACCTGCACACCAACTGTTTGACCCCCTTCTTTAGTAGTGGCTTTCTCATTCCCCATCCCCTTCACTTTGGTGTTCAATCCAATCTACACTTTCATTAGCTCATCATCAAGAGCCTTTATTAACATCCTCTGGCTTTCTTCAAGCTTCTTCATGAAATGAGCCCTCAACTCCTTCAATGCCTGCATACATAGTAAATGAAGATATCAAACAAATTGATCACTGTTATCATTGCCAGTATCTGACTGGTCATTTGCTAATCAAGTCTTGTCATCTCTAGTAACAACTTTGCCAATAGACTTACTTAAGCTCAGGTCAGCTAAATTTTTTAAATTCCCACATGTCGGATCTAAAGATTGCAAAATTGAATTGTCACCATCCCCTGCTGAGTAAATCTCACTGCCACTGGTTCCATACAATATTCCGATGCTGTTACCTGTAACATCCAGACTTTTAGGCCTAGAAGTTCCAGAAATAGCCTAAATTAAATAGGTTACCAGACCTCTGTGAGCGGAAGTCCCAAAGACGAGAAAGGAAGCTAAAGCAGTTTTAGGGACTAAACTGCAAAGTAAAAGTTTTCAGGGGCTCGAGTATAATTAAGGTTAGAGGCTCCAGTAAAGTCTCGAAGGCCCAGAGAGAGAAATGAGACTAGATATAGGCCAAAGGTTGAGTTAGAAGCCTCAAAGAGAGGATTATATGAAGTTAAGTCCAACCAGGGACTAAACTGTAAATTCTGAAAGTTATGACCAACAGGGGTAAAAGTGGAAGAGGGTACAGAAAATTCTAAGAAAATCCTAGAAAATGGGAAATAATATTCTAAGACTCTTCTATGAAGAGGAAAGATGAAAATACCCTTGAGACAGCTTAAATGGAATTTATGAGGTTGTGACCCGTAAAAAGTATACTGTTTGAGGTAATTATTTAAAATAGCAAGAGACCTCAAAAATGTATACAAAAATAAGGTTAAATGGTTGAAAGGTTGTACTAATTTATAAAATTAGTCCCGCAACCAAAAGGCCAGTGGAGTGGCTTTAATAAATTAAAGAGCCGGTTTTGCCGATAAAAGGGTATTTTGGTAAATGAATTTTTATGCAAGATTTAAAGGAAGTGTTATGGCCTAAGAAAATTCATAGATATTCTTTAGAATTAAAGGAAATTTATAAAGCAGACAGAACAATTTTCTGAGCTCCGAAAGGCCATAAAGAAAGCCGAAGAAACGTGGGCCAAGTAAATTCGGAGGAAGCTTATGAAACAAGTTTGATCCAACGGTTAGGATCTAATCTCCCATTTCCTCCACCACTTTCATGACACTTGGCATCTTCTAGAAGGTTGAGGTAAGCATGATGTAATAAGATGATGCAATGATGATGCAAAAGTCCACTTGAACTTCCAAATTTGCCCTTACCCTTTCTATTAGCCACCAAGGGCATTTGGTCCATTCAAGCCAACTTTTTTGGCTATAAATAGAGCCTCTTCCCCTTCATATTTTCAGCCAACATGAGTTTAAGAGGGGAAACTCTGCCAAAATTTAGAGAGAAAAACGTAGGGGTGAAGGCCAAGAAGAAGGAACAAAGTTCAAGCTTCAAGATCAAGGTATGTGGTGGCTGTAACATCTGATTTGATACCTATTTCGAATTAGTTACTGTACGTATCTAATTCTGAAATTTTGCATGCTTAAAGTACACTCTGTGAGCTTTAAATCCATGGGTAGAACACTTCATTTGGATATGTGTACGATTTATGGTGATTTTTCAAAGTTAAGGTTTGAAATCTGGAAACAGTGTTAAGCTTTTGGAAGGGTGTCGAGTTCCGTACAATTCTGGTACTGTTCAGAATAGAATTGGTTTCTAAAAATATTTTTCATTTAAATTTAACTTAATCATCTTTCAGTGAGACTTAGAAGCACTCAATTTAGATTTTTATAGATTTAATTATGAATTTTCAAAGTTGAGCAAAAATTCTGGAGATTCTGCGTGAACAGTACCCGTGAACCAAAATTTCCAGATTTGATCTTCTTGAATCTAAGGCCATCTAAAGTGGTCCTAATTGACAAGAAATGGATCATAAGGATGGGAAATGATGAGATTTATGTTAGAAAAGCTAGAAAGAAAACCCTAAGACTAAGAGAAAGGGTTGAGATTCAAGAGAGCTAGCTTTGAACTTTATGTAATCTAGTGGTCCTAATAGATTGTATGATCATTATGACTATGTTTAGGACCTTTGGAACATCCAAGAGGATGTTTGATGATATTGACCGAAAGCTAACATGGTTGGAAAGTCAAGGGAGTCAAAGGAAAAGTAAGAGGAAGGCTTGAGGTGCAAGGTAGTGAACTTACCTATTGTCATTGCTTGATGTTGTATGCTTGTGTGTTGCCGTGTACATGTTATTGAATGTTATTGTGACATGTTTTAGCTGCTGTAATTGCTATTCATGATGAGTAGATTATGTCTCCATGGCCATGCATCAAGAAGTTAGCTTTGAGTATGCTAGTATGTCACTAATGAACAAGAGAATAAACAAGTTGCGTGTAGTGCATTAGCATCCATCTAGCATGATTATGTGGTATTGTTTGCTACTGAGATTCCCCCGAATCTCACCCCTTCCCTAACCAACCATTTAGGTCAAATCAATGATGGGCACTAAGGGCATGAGAAGCAAGGAGAAGAAGTGGAGAATTATTAATGCTAATGATTGATGTTATTATTCAATGCATAATTCTCCTATGCTGTAAGTTATGTTATGAATGCCATTACTTCAATGTATATGCTTAGGATGTTTATGGCATGAATGAAAGTATATGAGTATGAATGAGAAAGATTAAGCCCATGTTATGTATGTCAAAGAAATAAAAAGAATTAAAATAAAGAGATATTAAGGGATAAAACGTAGGTCCTGAAGCAGTTAATTTCAAGCTTCAGTTTGACCTACCATATGAATGAGTTAAGCTACGAAATTTGGTACACTTATAATGCATATCCCAAGCTTCAAAATGAGTGCTAAATCACCTCATTTGTATCTGTATACGAAGAGATATGAATTTTCAAAGTTAAGGCGCAGAATCTGGAAAGTCCAGATTTTTCCAAACGAATAGTAATCTTAATCGAATAAACTGTACGTTTTCAGTGAGGATGAGTTCAGTTGAATATTTTTCCCTTAAAGAGCATTGAAAGAGCTTTCTGTAGAATTTTGGAACACCTCCATACGATTTTTCTAGAATTAGTTATGGTTTTTCAAAGTTGGACCTGTAATCTGAAAACTGGACAGTGAACAGTAATTTTCCGAAAATTAACGTCCAAATTGAAATTTTTAAGTTTAAGACCATCCAAAGTGGTTTGGAATGGTTCTAAATGACTGCTAAGATACTATATAAGTAAGGTGTGACATTACCTCTTTCTTTCTCCACCCTTTCCTTTATCTTCTCCTCGGTCCAAAATTCAATGGGGCTTGTTGAACCCTAGTCAACAGTTTTCCCTAGAAGGAAACGCTCAGCAAAATACAGCTGCAAAACCAGATAAATATAGGTCACACTTCTGCAACAATAACATAAAACAAAATTATAGTGACTAATAAAAATATTGACTTACTAGCAGCAAATAAAGACACCCTCTAACATTGTAAGTTCCTTTCTTCTTCTTTTTCTTTGTCATCTTCACAAAGTCTCCCATGTCCTTCCACAAAGTTCTTAATTATGTATGTTGACCAATCATATTTTCTAAACTCATCCATCATGTGACGCATCACTTTCAACAAACTTAAATATACAGTTGTGCTTGGCTCAAGACATAAAAAACCTCCAATTGTGTAAAGCATAAATAGGAACTCAAAATTGTTGTTTTCTATCCTAGATAATATCCTCTTCAGTATCTGGGTAAATAGGACATTCCAATATGTGTCCTTTAACCTCTTATATATTGGGTCATCCTCACCAATATAAGATTTGACTTCATCTCCATCGTGAGATACACCTAGAAACTTATAAGTATCTTTTGCTTCAATTGCCTCCCCTTACCCCCTAATAGTAAAAAAAATGTGTTGGTAGGCCATAGGATCTCAATAATGACACAACTAGATCACGTGGAAGTTGCTTTACATTCACATTAAGCAAGTTCCCAAATCTCATCCTCTCAACTTTCTGCCTTAACCGCTTGTTCTTCTTCACATACTCAGCCAATAACTTAAATCCAGGCAATGAGCACCGTGTGTACAAGAAAACATCATACTTCTTCTTCTCAACTTTCCTTAGCTTCGTTTTGTTTGCCCTCTCATTATATCTATCTCTCTCTTCCTGACTCAGTGCCTTCCATGCCTTCCCCACTTCAATTTTTCTTTTCTTGCATTTTTACACTTCTCCCCTCGTTTTTCCATATAGTCCCTTCTAAACAACACAAGCCCACTGTGTACTCCTTTGTTTGTGAACCCTTCCCCTTCTTCCAACACCATCTCATATAATTCTGCAGAGTCATCAATGTATAGTCATTAAGTCATAATTGTTATACATATACTAAATATCTAGTTCTTTCCAAATATGTTATGGTCATTTCCAATTCCTTTATTGTCATTACGAATATAGTCATTACAGACTAAGAATATGGTCATTACAATAAATATGGTCATTTCCAGTTCCTTCATTGCCATTACGAATATGGTCATTATAATGAATATGGTCATTTCTAGTTCCTTCATTGTCATTACTAATATGGTCATTACAGACTGATAGTAAAGTCATTATTATGAATATGGTCATTACTATAAATATGGTCATTTCCAATTTCTTTATTGTCATTACTAATATGGCCATTACAGACTGATAGTAAGGTCATTACTATGAATATGGTCATTTCAAGTTCCTTCATAGTCATTTACCAGTATGTTATTGTCATTTCCAGTTCATTCATATAATCTTTCGAGTCAAGTAGACAATTTTCCTATTCATTTGAAAACCCATTTTTTCCTAATGTCACAGCTCTCAACTTCGTTATAAAAAACAAATAGCATGCCACAAAGACTCAGAATAAACCCTTAATCACCATTCCTGTCATTCACAAACTTCATCATGTCATTTCTAAATATTGCCCAATCATTGCTTTTCCCGCTCACCCAGAAACGTCAACCACAGCATGAAACTTAAATCCCTAAACTTACCTCAGTGAAATACCACCGATGTTTGTTAACTACAATGGTGAATCACCGACCACCAACCTTCGTCCTTCCACCCAATCAGACAGAGCCGACGACATTCGCCTTTCAAACAGAATAGCCTTCCACTTTGAACTCCTCTACTCTCTTACGCACACACTATGTCGGGGTCATCAACTATCTAACTTGCTGGCGTTTTTAGGGCAGCAATGGGGATGGTGGAAGCGAGAAACCGAGAAGCACGAGTGGCCAGTTCGCGCCTCTCTCTCTCTCTGCTTTCAAACTCTGACAGAAGGGCTTTTTGATAATTGATCAACATTTGCATAATCTCCCATCAGGCAACCCTTCCCAATTTGTCAATACATTTGCTAAGCTTTCTATTTTGGCATTTCACATTTTTAGACTTCTTTATTTGTCATTTTCCTAAGGTAAAGATGTGCGTTTTAAAATTTAAAATTCCCTCCATCTCCATCTTTGCTCTTTTTTTCATTTCAAAATTCAAAGTCTGCAAATTTTTGATTTCTCATGCTTTTTCCTTCGCAAGTTAAATATAAAATTACTCATTAATATTATTAATTTTAAATTAAAAATTAATACACACATAAATTATTTGAATTTTATTCAATTTAAAAATTTAAATCTTTCAATTTTTGTGGTAATTTTTATCTTTAACAATATAACAATATTATAATATAAATAATTTTTTGATGTAGTAACAAAAATATTTTTACTTGCCCTGAAAATATAGTAAAATTTTGCAACACGTTTCTCCTTGCAACACGCTTTCTCGCCTGAGTCACCTCTGCACCTGGTATATTATATAAATTAATTTAGTTTATGTTTTTACCCTTACATATTAGTTTATGTTTTTTATTGATATATTGTATAAATTAATTTACATCTTAATTTAAATCATATAATTTAATAAAAACTCAATCTTATCATGTTAATATGTGTATTAAAAAATTGGTACAGTAATTTTTTATTCTAATTAATATAATAATATATTTAAAACAATCAAATTAACAAATTTTATATGCTCTAAGAAAAATAAAATTTTATTCTCTTTAAGCTATCTTTTTTTCCAGCTTTAAAATATATTTAATAAATAATATATTTATAAAAAACAATTAATTTTATAATATTATAATTTTTATTTAAATAATTTTTTATTTTTAAATAATTTTTATAATATATTTTTAATTATAATAATATATATTTTTACTTAGGATAATATATTTTTCATTTGAAATAAATATTATAATAATATATTTTATGGGTAGAAGTGGAATATTAAAAAAATTATATGGGCATAATAGTCTAAAATTTTGACTCCCTTCCAAAAACCCCCAATTTAGAGGGGAGCCAAAATGGGAGAGGGAGGGGAGGGGATATTTTAGCTCTCCTCCCCTTCAAAATTTTTAACCAAATGAGGGGAGGGGCTCCCCTCCCCTCCCCTCCCTCCAACTAAACAAACCCTAATCCCTTGTTTGTTTGGATTGAGAGAAAATTGAAAAGGAAAGAAAACTAGAGAGGAAGATATGAGGAGAAATAAACTTTCCCTTGCTTGGATAGGAGAGAAAATGTGGGAGGAGAAAATAAGGTGGGCCCCATATCTCATTTTCTCTCCAAATTTTCTCTCCACATATGGAGAGATTTGGGAAGGAAAACAAAACTTCCATAACTGCCCCTCATCTCTCTTCCTCTCCATATTTATTTTCTTTTATTATATTTAAAAGGTTATTCAACTTTTTTTTCATCTTAAAACAATATTTTTATTAAATAATTTGGTTTTAAAATATAATAATCTGAAAATATATACAAACCAAATAACTTGATTTTAAATTATTTGATGATGTTAATGCTAATATAATTTTTCTATTGTAATATTTAATTATAAATATGATATATTTTGATAAGGATATTTTAGTCATTTAGATATATGCTAATTTTTTTTCCTCTCTGTTTTCTCTCATCTATCCAAGTAAGAGGGATGGTCACAATTTTCCTCCAATTTTTTCTTCCCTCTATTTTCTCTCCTCCCATTTTCTTTCCTCTCAATTATTCTTCTCATCCAAGCAGAGCATAAATCGTCTCTTCATTGCCTCCCTTTTTTGCTTCGTGTTCCATCTTTTTTTTTCATCTCAGTTCTGCTTCCAACTCCCAAGTTTGCAAGTCGTCGGAGATTGTCGCCAGAGACGCTTCACTTCTTCTGTCTGTTGAATCGTATCTTGTGGTAATACTGATGCTAGAAGTTGCTTTTACGGCAGTGTAAACTTTTCTCCGTCTTCTTTTTCCATTTCCCTCTCCATTCTTCATTTTTAAGAGTCAGGCATTTATATTGCTTCTTAATACTGCTGGAATTTAATCTTTATTGTTGATTGTTGATTTCTGCCCCTGCAGTTTCCCAGTCATCATGGAAAGGAAAAAAAAGCGAAGCTATGCTTGAAGATGCACGCCAAGTGTTTGAGAAAATGACCAATAGAGATTCAATAGTAGTAGACCAGAGGACACATGAACTGATGATTCAAGCACTTTGTGCTGGAAGAAGGACAACAGAAGCAATGTGAGGTTTCGAAGGTGGGATTTTTTAAATTCTTTTTAATTTCTCATATTTTTCGTTTTTCAAGGACTGCTTCTGCTCACTCTCCCTATCTCGGTCTTTTGTTTTTTTCCCCCCATTAGATGTACTATTTACTCTTAGGAAGCCATTGAAGCTTTTTGACCCTCCTTACTAAGTAATGTCTCTCAGATTTCTTTCACTTGAGAGCATCGGGCTAGGATTGCTTGACTCTATCGTTAACTCAATATGTCTTTTTTGTTAGAACAGATGGTTCAGATAATTGAAAGAGGTATAAGAAATTATCCTGTTAGTTTATATATTTATGTATTTTTGGGTTATATGTTATTTGATTATATGATTCTTTTGTATGCATATATACACGCGTATATGTCTGTATGGGTGTGCAGGTATTCTTAGTGTCTTATGAGAATGAAAAGAAGGGGATGGAAGTGAAAATTTTATTCAAGCCATTTTCTGTGATTCAGAGTTCATAGGCATTTTTCTTTTTCCTGTTACAGTATAATAAATTGAGGAAGCATACACACATGCCATCAAAATACTGACTGGACTGTTATTTTTATCTTTTTTAATTTTTTTCCATTAGAATTTCTGCTTGCTTGAAGGGTTTTTGCTAAATCAATCATCTGAACCATTATGCGCTGGGTGTTGTGTTTGTGGTTTCACGCTAGATGAATACTTTCAATAGAAATATTACCAGATGAAACTCAACGTATGTTTTTGGTAGAAAATAAAATTTCCGAAAACCAAAATTCTTATGTCCTTATGTTGCTCTAATTAAATGCTCCTCAATCTGTTGATGAGATTGTGTTGAAGCTGTGTCCTAGAAGTGGTTCATTAATTTCTCTTGCATGGAATAATTAATTTCTCAAGCTATCACTTTTCATCAAGCTTTTCATCTTAATTGTTTGGTTTGAACTCTTTTTTCTTTCCCAATAATTCTTTGCACGTGCTTTGTGACAAAAATTTTGCCTTTGTAGATGCCTGATAGTTGTCTCAGTGTATAATAGCATAAAGACCTTTTCACAATGTGCATTGTACATATATTCATTCTAGAGATAATCCATTCTTTGATGGCCTTGTGATAAGATCTACACTTGCAAGAGCTGATGACCGAGCTCTCTTGGAGTCTCTAGGAATAGCAATCAGCAGCAGCAGGAATGTTTTCAGATCTTTGTCAGATAGTGTTGACACATATATTTCTAATAGGTCATGGAGTTGCCACTAAAAAAGTTAGCAGTCTTGGATTTCAGTTCTAAATTTGCTGAAAACTCTTCTTAAGAATAATAACTTCATGTGTTCAGCTTTATTTTAAAACTTATGTCAAATTTGGTTTTTATGTCCATTTCTGTTAGCAATTCTCAGCAATAATAACTTTCCTTTGTTGTTTTATGTCACTTGACATTGATATTGCAATCCATATACATGTTAATGAAGATGGACCCACTACCCTACTTGTCTCATAAGAGTGCTTGACCTCTAAAGAACTTATATTTTTCACCATTAGGATCATCTTGAGATTCTATTCTATTTTATTTCTGAAAGGATTGAGTCTTGAGACCATACAACTATAAAGACATGAGATTGAAAAAATACCATAAAAAACATTATTTCTTAGTCCGTAACCGGAACGATTTTTTTGTTATTAAATAACGTTTTCGCAGAGATCAAATGGTTAATTAAGAGATCACAACCCTACTTATGCAATAATATAATCCTTTCTAATTATATTATGGTCATTATCTTGCCAAACGTTTTTTTTTTTTTAATAAAATGCAAATATTGACATCAAAAATAAACTTTTGCAGAAGTGTAGCCAAAAATTTTTTTTTATACAAAATCATCATTTATAATATTCAACAGTCAAATGTCATAAATTCTCAATGTCCCTACACATTGCACGAGAAAAGTAAAATCATTGAATACATATTTCACAATAGATTAATTAGATAAAATTTAATGGTTATGATTATTATACTTCAGTGTGGGATTTTTTTTGGGCCAACTACTTCAGTGTGGGATTGAACCTTAAAAATTAAAATAATGAACTTTGTTTAGGTATACCATGAGTATATTCTTCCCATGTATAATTATGTGCTTTTGATAGTTGCTACCAATTATTAATGAAATAGGGTGATATTGGTTTTTGAAAAATCAACTTGACAGCTTACAATTCGAGTGGATTAGAATATGAGATATGCATTATTATTTTTTTATCAATATAATTGTTTCCTTATGGACTATTTATGAATGAAGGTTTTGTTGATAAGGTTTGATCTTAAGGAAGGAAGCATAAGGTTATAAAGCTGGTAAATAGAGCTTTAACTCATTTCATGATAATTAGAACACCATTGTCAGTACATGGGGTGTAATTATACAGTGTTAATGCTTTTGTGACGATAAAAATTGTAATAAGCAGAGATTTTAGGTATATTGAAATAAATTCATCCCGTGCATCGTATGGGGGAATTAATGCTAGTTTTTTTTGAGCAAAAACAGAGTGAATGCACGTAGCCACATGCAAGGAGCTGGCACACTGTTCATAAGCTGGTACTGTTCATAACACAGTGATTTAAGTGAGGAGCCAGTTTGAAGATAGAAGTAGCTTAGCCTGGTTTTAATTTTTTATTTAATATTTTAATTGATTGATTGATATCAAAATCATTCAAGCCGGTTCCTCTCACGTTTTGCTGTTCAAATGAATAGAACCAGCTCATATTGGGCTCTGTGTAAGATTAAATTGTTTTCTTTTCCCTCCATGTCCTTTCAATTTCGAAATTTAAAATTCAAAGTACTTACCTTTTCCATTTCGTTCAAACTTCTCATCTTTACTTTTTTGGCAGAAACCTCTTTCTCTATGGCCTATCTCCAAATCAGTTAGTGGGTCTTCAACTTCATCTCCATCCACCTCTACCAATTTCTAAGAGTTGTCAATCCTCTCTGAATCTTTCCCCTAGACATAGCCCCCTGCGTGTTGCTATATATGATTCTCTCTTGCTTGACACTAATGTCGGTGATTCTGCTGGTGTGAGTTGCTGAGCATAACAGAGTAGAGATGCACTTCCTTCTCCTCCTTCACGTCCGCTCGCCGTTCTCAATATTACCACAGAATAGATCACAGCCTCTTGGCAAATAAATCATTCAATAATTTATTTCATATTATTCGATTTTCGGCTATTATATAACCAAGAGTACCATCAATGGAGAGTGCAAGAGTACCAACAATGGTGAGCACAAGAAAAGCAAAAAGAGCAGGTGGGGCAGCCTCAGTTTCTCCAGCAACACTTGCTTTATCTATTCCCCGCTGGCTGATGTCTAAAGTCATGGGCCGAAGAGACAGAGCCTCTGAGAGTGATCAACAAATGGTGGAGCAACAGTCACCAGTTTTCTTATTCACCAACAGCTTGGAACAACAACAAGTATGTGTCATTCCATTCTTTACTACTCTTTCTTCAACTATGAAGCCTTTTCTTATTATTTTCTTTGCTTTCTTTTTGCTTACAATTTTTGAGGTTGCTTCTGTTTGTATAATTCCTCTATTATTACACTTCTTTAGTCTTATTTCGTTTTCCTTTCATCCGTGATGGCTTTTCTTAATTTCTACATTCCCTTTAATTTGATCGCACCTTCTAAGATTTGCTTGTGTGTAATACCCCATTGTAGCCCCCCCCTCTCTTTGACCTTTTTCTTTGGCCTTGTCTGGTTTTAGTTATAGACAATTTTATGAGAATAAAAATCTGTTGTTATCAACAACATAATTTAGATTTTGACAAAAAAAAAATTTGATCTTGTTAATCTTTTACATTTGAAATCGTAAAATTTTTAGTAGTTCTCATATTTTTGCAATTCTATAGATATCTAGAAATTATGTACTTTTTTTTATCTTGAATTTTCAATTATTTTTTATTGGCCATAATCGTGATTTTTTTTTTGTTTTTTATATGATAATGTTTTTGGCCAAATTTTCATGTGATAATGTTTAAAGAAAAAACATGTTAGTTAAATTCAATTAAAAGAATTAAAACTAAATTTAGGCTTTTTAATTATGAAGAGTATTTTGGTCTTTTAGCAATATTTAGAAATTCCCAATTAGGTTTCTTTGGACTAATTAAGAATTTGTTAAAAGTATAGGCTTAAATTAGCATCTGTTGTTAATTTTTTGAAAAAATAATTTTTCTATTTAAAAATTATTATTTGAAAGTTTTAAATTTGCATCGTTGACACTGTATTTGAGATTCTGAAATGTAAGTCAAAGTCTTTATCTTTGTTTGACCTTTATCCAAATAAGTTGGAATTGAGAAGTTTAGAAATGAAAATAAGTTTTTGAAACTAGATTTTAAAATGAAAAAGTTGTCAACTTATTATTAAAAAAACCAGTTATTTATATAAAAAAAACTCACATTTTGTCTTCAATTATTTGATGATAACTGTCAGTAGGTAACCAATTTTTTTTATTTAAAAAAACCCGTTTAATGGTTATTTATTTAAGGAAAAATTATTCCCACTAGGTCCCTCTCTCTAATTTTCCCTTTATTTAACCAACAAATATTTTGTCGATAAACTTGATGGTCAAAATAACAACTGTCAGTCAGATATCCTCCCAACTTCCGCCTCAACCTATATGCCCTGTTTTCCTATTCAACCGTCAAGCTTTACGCGGCAAAAAAGCCCATGTTTATAATGGGGGATTCTTTACACACACACACACATATAAATATATATCACTTGTATAATTCAAGTTTGCATTCTAAATCAAACTTCAAAGGTTGAAGATGAGCTGGCTATAGACATCAAAGAAATGATTCAAGATTGCGGAGATGGTCTTTTGTCACCCGACTGTTGTATCTACCGAGTGCCCATTGTGCACCGTCATCTTAAAGAAGAGGCTTACACTCCAAAAGTTGTTTCAATTGGTCCCTTCCATTACCGTAATGAGAGGCTGCAGGACATGGAAAGGCATAAACAAATATTTTTCAAAAGATTTGCTCGAAGAGCTATGTCAAGCTTGGATGATTTGGTTCGATGTGTGAAACATTTAGAACCAAAAGTCCGTGCTTCTTATTCAGAAACCATTAACCTTAGTGAAGAAGAACTTGTGAAATTGACGTTAATGGATGCTGGTTTCATCATTGAACTCTTCATCATGGCCTACAAGAGGGATCATGGCAACGATGCTATACTGACGCAGCTCTGGTTAGTAAGTTCTATATCGCAGGATTTGTGTTTACTTGAGAATCAACTTCCATTCTTTGTTATTGAAGAGCTATTCGATAGAGCCTTTCCTGATGAGCGTCGTGGTAGCCTCCCTTCCTTTCATAAGCTCACGTATAAGTATTTTGAGTATTATCATGGAACAAAATTAATGCCAAATATTGATGTTGAGGTAAAGCATTTTACAGATCTTCTTAGATCATTATACTTACAAGGAGAAATGTCTGCACAACAATTAATATCAGTGGATGGAAGTCATCGTCTTTTATACAATGCAAATGCATTACAAGAAGCAGGCATAAAGTTGAAGGCTAGTAAGAGCAAATGCTTATTAGACATGAAATTTTCAGGACATATTCTTGAAATTCCACAATTTCTGGTGGATGATAACACTGAACTTGTGTTTCGCAATATGATAGCATTAGAAGAGTGTCATTATCCTTGTGCTGCTTACATTACTGACTATGCTCTTGTATTGGATTGTCTAATAGACACACAAAAAGATGTGGATCTCCTTATTCACAAGAAAATAGTCAGCAACCATGTAGGGGGTACGAATAATGTTGCTTTATTATTTAATGGTCTTTTGGGAAATGTCAATCAGTTGACTTTCAACTCGAAATACTTTGATATTTGCCAAAAGTTGAATGCCTATTGTCAAGATCCTTGGCATGAGCTGTGGGCAACTCTAAGACATGATTATTGCCGTACACCTTGGCAAACTGTTGCTTCTATTGCTGCAATTATACTCATCTTTCTCACGGTTGTTCAAACCATAATTTCTATCCTCCAAGTTGTGTAGTAAATTTCCAGCTTTGTATGTATAATGTTGGGATTTGATTGTGTCCTCTGACTTTGTTTCCAGTGTGGGCAGTATACTCGTAATTAACTAGTGAAACGATTTCTTGTACCAGGTTTTGTTGACAATAGAAATCGCACCTTGTAGCCACAGAAAAGTAGTTCTGCTCCTTGTAGCCACAGAAAAGCTCTTCTAAAAAGCTATTACACACACACACACACGTCCTCTTCTATTCTTTCAATTTTTGTAGCCATCAAATTAAATTAATCCAATCGGTTATCCATATTAGAAGTAAGTTTCCATGTAGGGGATACAGGAGGTGATTCGTATATACATGCTTATGGCCATTTTTTTTTCCCTTTTGGCAGCTTTAAAAATGCACATACTTGATAATGATACAAGAAAAGTGTATATTAAAACTTCATTTGAATATTTATGTTTGCAATGAGAATGAGGATTTATATTGCTGATTGCTTTATCAATCAAACCTGATAGATGGAAGATGACCTGACAAATGATGTCAAAGCAATTATTCAAGATATACAGAAGAAGATATTCTGTTAATGCCAATATGAAATTTGTAGGTCATCTTCTTGAGATCCCACATATTATGGTTACATATGATCGAAGATAAAACCGAAATTTTGTTTGGTAATATGACGACTCTAGAACAATGTCAGTATTCTTTTGATTTTAAAGTTGGAAAGCTTATATTTAATTTATTTTATTGTTAATATTGTAATTTTTTATTTATTAAAGGAAACTTAATTTGTACCTAAATGTAAAATTTTTAATTTTTAATTTCTTAAAACAATAAATACACATAATTAAAAGATATGTGTCTGTGTATTGCTCATCACTACTGAATGCTCTATTAGGCTACAGGCCAGCGATTCAAGTTTAAAAACAGTAAATTAATAATTAATGAGATCAATGCACGTACAATTATTTTTATTTTCTTCGGTGATAAGATGTACAAGTTTTATTAATCAAACTTCGTACACATAGAAAATTGAAAAAAAAAATCTTGTTTTTCATATCTCTGGTATAAAATTATTATCAGATGTTTTAGGGAAATTAACTTTCTTCTTTTGAAATTATCGTGATTTTGACCTCAATATAATTAACACCTTAAGAAAAAAGAAGTGCTCACAGTTGTGTCTCTCACTTCTAGTTGGTAGAATCATCTTGAAAGAAGGAAATTAACCCAAAAAAGAAACCAGCACCGCCACAAAAGCAAGAAAATCTAGCAGAAAACAAACCCAGAGCAGAGAAGTCAAATAACCAGCAACAAGATAAACCACTCAATTGAAAAAAAGAAGAAAAAAAAACAACACAAACCAAAAGCTCCAAGAAGATCTTCTAACTATCTACTCGCACACCATGAAGTTTAAAGAACTTTCAAGAGAAAACTTGGAAGGAAGAGCTCTCCTTTTTCATGTCACCTTTTCCTACATGATTTCTCAAAGAATGTGATAAACATGTATCAGTGTGATGGGCTTGGCTGACACGTAGGCCTTGTTTGTTTCCTTTTTCTTTTTTCTTTTTAAATGTTTTTTGAATAGTTTTATAGAACAGTTTTTAGAAACAAGTTTTGAAAACTAAAAAAGAAATGCTTGGATAATTGTTCTAAAAAAATTATGTTTGAAAACAAAACGTACATAAAAACTCGTTTGAAATAATTGCTTTTAAAATTAATTTGAAGAATTGATAGAATGTGAGAGAAAGATTAAAGAATACAACGAGACAGAAAATTGAAAGACTAAAAAATGAAGTGGATGAGTGTGAGGGTTAAAGTGAAGAGTGTGATTGCGAGTAAAAAATAGGGTTAAAAAAAACAAAACATATAAAAGTTGTTTTGAGTTTTTTATTTTTAAAATTAGATTTCTATTTTTTTTGTTCTGCAAAACACTTGACTGAAAAATTGTTTCCAAAACAGGAAACTAAACAGAACCTTAAGATTCTCTGATCATGATCAAGAGTGATGAATCAATTGTACATGATAAGATCTCTAACCTCACGTGCGTATAGCTTGGCCATCGGGTGATTCAAAGTGGAACCGTTATGTAAGAAAACTTTACAGTAAGTCTCAAATTAAATGATTAATTTAATAATGTTTGGATCTTAAAAAGCCTTTTAAGAGATGAATTACAAATAACAGATAGAAATGAAAGTGTCAACTGTAAACTGAGAGGGAAACTTGAAACTTAATTGGCACTTTTGAATTCACAGTTGTCTAAAGCAATATTTAGATTTTTTTCATTTTTTTTACAGTTAAATGTTATTGAATTAATTTTTCTGACATATCTGTCTTTTCTTGTTATTTAACAAATGATTTCGCAGTTTGCACTGCACAGATCCAATTAATTAAAGGGAAAATTAGGTCCTACAGAAGACAGTTTATTCATCTAAGGTTCTACAAAATGTCAAAATCACTGACAGGTCCCAAGGGACCTCAGAGTAATATATTTTACTTGTAAAATGACATTACTGCCCTTCACATTCCAAATTCACATTTGCTCTGTTATTGCGATTTACAACATTAGCAGCGACTATTAACAACCCAATGAGAGGGCGTTAACAACCTAAGCAGTATCCGTTAACAACTTACTTTATAAAATCATATAACCTCTACATAAGAGTAAATTATAGGGAGAATCCCAATTAAATCCAGCCGAAATACCTAAATTCAGATTTAGGCCTACACTTTTAGCAAATTCCTAATTAGGCCATGAGACTTAATTAGGGATTTTTGAATGTTGTTAAATCACCAAAATGCCCTTCTTCAATTAAAAAGAAAACTTGATTAATATACCTCTCCCGAGTAATTCCTCATCTCTTATGATTTTTTTTAGACCAAAAAACATATAAGTAATTTTACAATGTTTGAAATTTGTATATATAACTTATACTATTAAAAATATTTTAATAAAACATGTTAAATTACAAATATAAGTAAAATTATAAATATTTTTTATTTTCAGTTCTTGTAATTTACGTTAGTTTTATCTATTTAAACAATGTTGGATCCAACTGAAAATGTAAATGATTACGATTTAATATTAAATTTTTATTATGATTAAAATATTTTAAAATTTTAAAATAAATATTTACAACTTGAAAAGAAAAGAATATTAAAAATATTTATTTAAAGATTACATATATTATAATTTGAAATGTTTTATGAAAATATTTTGAAGATTTTAGTTATATTACAAAATTTCAAACACTAAAAAATTATTTATATTTTTTTTGTCTAAATATTAATAATAAGAGATGATGAACCACTTTAGAGGGATAAAATAATCAATTTTCATTTTTAACTAAAGAGGGGCATTATAGTTACTTAACAATATTCAGTAATTTCTAATTAGGTCTTATGTCCTAATTAAGAATTTGTTAAAAGTGTAGGTCTCAATTTAATTTTAAGTATTTCAGCAGGATTTAATTAAGATTTTCCCTAAATTATAACCACATAGTATAATACAACAACTTTAACACTAAAATGGGAAGCTTTTTGATATCATTAAGAATTTTAACTAAACCCAATAGGATTATAGCAACATTTTAATGCGAAGAGCCATTTACAACCTCAACGGTGAGTATTAATAACCTAAGGAGAACTGTTAACAACCTTAGCAGTGTCTGTTAACAACTAACTTTATCGGATAATATAACTTCTAATTATAACTAACTAAATTATAACTAAATAGTGTTAAAGTTAATCTTATATAGTTGTTAGAGGTTATATTATCCTATAAAGTCAGTTGTTAACAGATACTGCCTAGATTGTCAACAGCTCTCTTTGGGTTATCAATACTCATCGTTGAGGTTGTAAATGGATCTTCACATTAAAATGTTGCTATAATCCTATTAGATAATATAACCTCTAACAACTATATAAGATTAACTTTAACACTATTTAGTTATAATTTAGTTAGTTATAATTAGAAGTTATATTATCCGATAAAGTTAGTTGTTAGCAGACACTGCTAAGGTTGTTAACAGTTCTCCTTAGGTTATTAATACTCACCATTGAGGTTGTAAATGGATCTTTGCATTAAAATGTTGCTATAATCCTATTGGGTTTAGTTAAAATTATTAATGATATCAAAAAGCTTCCCATTTAGTGTTAAAGTTGTTGTATTATACTATTTGGTTATAATTTACTCTTATGTGGAGGTTATATGATTCTATAAAGTAAGTTGTTAACGGATACTGCTTAGGTTGTTAACGCCCTCTCATTGGGTTGTTAATAGTCGCTGTTGAGGTTGTAAATCGCAATGACAGAGCAAATGTGAATTTGGAATGTGAAGGGCAGTAATGTCATTTTACAAGTAAAATATATTACTCTGAGATCCCTTGGGACCTGTCAGTGATTTTGACATTTTATGAGACCTTAGATGAATAAACTGTCTTCTGTGGGACCTGTACGTAATTTTCCCTTAATTAAATTAGGGAGAACCAAAAGAAGGTAATATTTATTTTAAGAGACCTTAAAAACTATAATTACTTACTAGTAATAGTAAGAGAGCCTAAACATACTAAGATTTAGATATTAAATAAATGAGATGTTAAAAAAATAAAATAAATAAATGTACCAAATTGCCCTCCTTAACATATAAAATCCCTAATTTTTTTAACCAAATATAGGCCAAGGTTGTTGTTCGAAGCCAGTATTCTGGCATGGTCAGTTATATATTGTAATGTCAAGAGTGAGAAGCATGAGAGGTTTGAAAATACTAATACAAAATGATAGGTATAGTGTGAGCAACATAACTACCAATGTTGTTTATAGAGAAATTTTTTGAAATGTTGATACTATTTTTCAGTTATTCTTTGTTGTATGCATTTTCGTTTCACTATTGGTCTGTATGGTTATATAATTCTGAGCAAAAAGGGCACATATTTTCACCATATATGTTGATGAATTTCTCCGAAGCATGAGAGGCCAGTCCATGCTAGTTTTAATCAAAAGAAAATCATAAATGTTATTTTTTCGGCCAATTACAGGTTTTCCTTTAAACACAGAAACTTGTAATTGACACTTAGCGATTTTGGTCATGACGATACTTTTTTTTTTTTGGTTTAAGAAAATGGACCAAGGAGGAGTAATTTCAGAAAATTGAGGTCCATATTTATAATTAACTTTGTTATATGGTCACTGTTTTAGAGTTTCCCTCATTCAAATCAACAAATTAAATGGCGTACAAAGGTAGCTAATTGACGGCGCTAATTAAGCTTCTCTAAATGCACCATTGTTTGTGGGGCACTTCTTCTTAGGGTCCATCACGTTTAAGTATATATACTTGGAAGTGGTCCCCTTGGGCTCTTACTTATTTTTCCGTTACGTGATGCTATGAATTAAGAAATATAATTAATTAATAATTGAAAGATTTAAATTTGTGGTACTTAATTACAATTTTTTATCTTTTACAAATTGCAATTGCTTGTACTGTATGCTTTGGAAGAAGCATATAATTCTCCAATTTTATATTTCTCTCTGTTTTTTTTTTTTGATATGGCTATCAGACCTTCTCAATATTCAAACTTATATTCTTCTACTTTTTTTAATAGTAGCTCATCCATTCATCATATTCATAGAGGGTTAAACTTGTAACATACTTCATATTTAAAAGACTTGAAGAAAATGTTTAGTATCATTAAGTCATATGGGCCGACAGTTTTATATTTGCCATTGACAATTGAGGAGATTAACCCTTTATCTATATCTATATAACCATAATATCAAAATCATTCGAGCCAGTTTCATAATATGGCTCGTCTCACGTTCTACTGTTCAAATGAATAGTACCAGCTCATATTGGGCTTTGTGTAAGATTAAATTGTTTTCTTGTCCCTCTATTTCCTTTCAATTTCAAAATTTAAAATTCAAAATACTAATCTTTTCCATTTGAGTATTTTCCATTTAGTTCAAACTTTTCATAGGAGGTGTTTAGATGAAACCAAACTATAGTTTGGAGAATAGTTTATGGAGAATAAATTTTAAAGAGAACATATTTTGTGAAAAAGTGATTCTGATAAAGTAAAAGTGTTTAGATAGTTGTTATCAGAAGCACTTTTTATATGTACAAATTACTAAAAAGGACATAAGTTAATATCATAATTACATAAAGAATAGATTTTATAATATATTTTAATTTGAAGAAATAAAGTTGTTAATAAAATAATTTTTACTAATATAATTAATAAATAATTAATATGTGTATATATATTTATAAATTATAAGATTAAATATGTTTATAGAAAAATGATTATTTTTTTCTTACAAAAAAATATTAATTTGCTTTAAAGATTTTAAACATGAAATTTTATAACAATTTTTCACAACTAGTTTTTATAACAACATACTACCTCTCATTTTTAATATAATTAATTAATTGTTACTACGTGTATAAAAATATTTATAAAATATAAGATTAAAAATATTTTTAGAAAAGATGAATAATTTTTTGTAAACAGAAAATAAATGAATTAAAAAAAAAGCACCAAAGGTGGGAGAGAATGTAACAAAGTATTACTTCTTTTCTGGTTCAAAAAAAAAAAACACAACATACTACCTCTGAACAGTGAAGGAATGAAGACGGAAGATTGAGGGGTATATGTGTCTGGTCAAAAAAAATAAATCCTCACATCTGTTGGCATTAAAAAAAACCATCTCACACTCTTCAATTTTCTCTCCAAAAGCATATTCAAAACGCTTCTTCCCAAACACACCCATGTCTTTAAATCAGTTAGTGGGCCTTCAACCTCATCTCCATCCAACTCACCAACTTCTACTACAAGAAAACGTAGAATTAGCAGCGGAACATTTCTAGCGGTTCAATAAAACCGCTAGAAATTCTGACATTTCTAGCGGTTTTTAGAAAAACCGCTGCAAATTACCGACGGTTTGACCATTGCCCGTACATTTCTAGCGGTTACCACCTAACCGCTAGAAATTTAGAGCTAGAAAATTTCCCGGGTTTTGGCGGGAACTTGGCGCCAAATTTGTAGCGTTTATTTTCTAGCGGTTCAGGCCAATAAACCGCTAGACACTGAAAATTTCTAGCGGTTGATGCATGAACCGCTAGAAATATTTTTAATTCCCCGAGGAGTTTAGATATTTCTAGCGGTTCGGGTAAAAACCGCTAGAAATTTCTAGCGGTTTTTACCCGAACCGCTAGAAATATCTGCCAATTCCCGAGGCACTTGTGACCGTTGGGAATTTCTAGCGGTTCTGTCCAAAACCGCTAGAAATTCTCGGTCTATATAAACCCCCTCTTTCACTTCTTCAATCATTCTGGAAGCGAAGCTCTGCTGAATTTTCTCCACAAACATATTCGAGTTCTGATTCAGTTGCAGATCCTTATTTTCAGGTAAAAATAGTAATTTATTGATAAATAATTTTTATTTTATATTTTATTTTATTTAATTTATTATGTTGTAGCTTATAAATAATTTTTCTTTTCATTTTATTTATAAATAATTACTATTTGTTGTTATTAGGATGACTCGTCGGCACGGGAAAGACCCAGTTGATCCTGAGAGAGCTGGACCCAGTGAGGTTCATCATGATGCTGGCGAGCCATTCCCCAGCATTCATGACTACGATCTCAGCGAGGAGGATATCCTCAGTTTTATGGAGCAGGATGATGTTGAGCGGACTGAGGAGGCTCATTTTACTGGGGATGAGCAACCCCATGCTGATGCTGATGCTGCTGACGAGGAGGAGGAGGAGGAGCAGGATCAGGGGAATGAGTATCCCCAGGCTGCGCAACGTCCTGCTCCGAGACGTCAGGCTGGTTATGAGGTGGAATTTGTCGGTAAGTATTTATTTAACTTTTTAAAATTTTGATCAGTATTTAATTTATATAGAAATTATATTAATTTATTGATATATAATTTATTTCTTAATTAAATTTTGCAGACACTGAGGGGAACAGGTCCTATCGGAGGCTGACAGCCAGAGAGCTGTCTATGATGACGAGCGGACGAGTGGTTGTGCCGCTCAATGAGTTGGGCCAACCGACGAAGAAAGGTGGCCAGTTGTACAACAAGTACGTGCGCCTCCTTGGTCAGCAGTGGACGCTGTTCCCCATCTACGTGCAGGACTGGAAGAAGATCACCTCAGACAAGAAGCAGCAAGGCTGGGAAATGATGAAGGTAATGTAAAATTGTTATTTATAATTTTTTTTAATTTAAATAAATGATTATATATTTTGTTTTCAAATAATTTAATTGTTTGATTATAATTTTATTTATTTAATTTGTTTGTTATTTATAATATTTTTAAAAGTAGTTAAATGAATATATATATTTTTTATTTAAATTATTTAAAAGTAGTTAAATGAAAAAAATTTGTTATTGATTTCATTAATTTATTACTTATAATAATTTTAAATTTAGTTGAGTAAAAATATTTTTTCATTTAAATTACTTAATTGTTTAATTATTATTTGTTTTTGATTAATTTATATTTTATTTATAATATTTTAAATTAGTTAAAAACTAATTATTTGTTTTTGATTATTGAAATTGCTTAATTATTTGTTTATAATTTGTTATTTAGTTAATTTATTATTTTAATCATAGAGTAAATTTATTCTGGGGGAGGAGTTGAGGGCTGACACGATCAAGAGGCTTGGGATGGCATGGAAGAACAGGAGGGCCGACCTGTGGAGGGAGAAGAAAGGTGACAGGACGAGGCCCCTCCAGGAGATACTGGCAGATGTACCTGGTGGAGTCCCGGACCAAGACTGGTCCAGTTACGTCTATTTTAGGATGACGGCTGACCAGATGGTATGATAATATTGTATTAATTATAATTTCTTTATTTTTTATCCGACTTGACTCATTTAATTTAATTTTTTTACATTTTGCTTCAGGCTCTTTCTAGGAGAAATGCTGGGAGCGTCAGGCATCAGACGATACGTCATAGGGCTGGATCCAGGAGCTTTGCGATCACTTATGACGAGATTGTGAGTACTTGAAATAAATTTATTAAATATGTATATGTATTTAATTTGTAACTAATTATTTCTTTGATTTCATTTACAGAGGGAAAAGATACGGCAGGAGCGGGGATACACGGCCACTTATGGCGAGATGTGGCCGATGGTGTATAGACCTCGAGACGGGCGTGCGTCGGATGAGGTTGAGGAGATAGCGGTAAGTAATAAATTAAATATTAATATAATATCACAGTGTAGATATCATTATATTATAATTAACTTCTTTATATTAATTTTGGTAGGCACGGATGACTCAGGTCGATTCCGAGTTGCGTGAGTCTCAGGGGTCTGCCTTGGATCCCACCGCCTCACTTTTAGTGGGTCGTGGCCGGCCGCAGCACCCTGGTTGAGTTAGCGGGCTTGGACTTGGACCTACACCGACTAGGTTGCCCCGCTCAAGTGGCGCTGGCCCTTCATATACTGCCGGGAGCTCTCATGCGAGTGCGAAGCGGCCGGGTTCCTCATCCTCAGAGGAATTGCGAGAGGAGCTCAGACAAGAGTTCGAGGCCAGGATGGAGGCCAGGATCGTGGAGCGTGATCGTCAGCTGCGTCAGCTGTAGGAGCGTGATCGTCAGCTCCAGACGCAGCTTGACCAGCTCTTGGCAGCTGCTACGGCTCTGCGTCATGTGGTGGTCAGTATAGCTCCAAACATCTCGGTTCCTGAGATCCCCGACCTACACCTGCCACCAGTCCCGCCCCTACCCCCCATCCGCCAGTCCAGTCCCAGCAGGTTGAGCGGCCTGCCCACCCCCAGCCGGAGGATCCAGCAGAGGATGATCACGATGATGCTGCTTCTGCCCCTCACCCATGATTTATCTTGCTTTCATTGTATGGGATTTTATTAGAATTTTGATTTTACGGTTTTATATACTATTTAGATATTTATTTGAATTTTATATTTATTTGTTTACTTTATTTATTTATTTCTATAATTTTATTTATGTCAAGTGTTAATTAATATTGAAATATTTATTTATTTATTACAACATCAACATTACAATTTATTAAACACGTTAAACATGTTAATTAATCAAAATAATTCTATAATCATTTATTAATTAATAAATATTTATTTTTGTAATGTTATTAATTTATTGTGCAGTATTTCTATTTAATATTTAAAAATAATATCATTTGTAGCGGTTCTAAAACCGTTAGAAAATTCAACTGAATTTATTACATCGTGAAACTTTCTAGCGGTTTTATAAACCGCTAGAAAATTAGTAATTTTCTAGCGGTTTATAAAAACCGCTAGAAACTTACCTCATTTTCTAGCGGTTGATAAAAACCGCTAGAAAATTACCTAATTTTACGTAATTTTCTAGCGGTTTTATAACCGCTAGAAATTTCAAAACCGTTGGAGACAAAATTCCCGTTAAACCGCTAGAAATTTCTATGGGTTTGTAACCGATATTTTGAATTTCTAGCGGTTAATAACCGCTGGAAAATGAAACTTTCCATTAAAACCGCTACAAAAAAATGACCGTTCCACCAGCCTCCTTTATAAGCTGAAGCACTCCAATTGAATTCCATTTTAACTTCTCTTTGAGCTTCCTGTGTCATATTTTCATGAAATTTGAGCATTATTAGTGATGGATAGGTCGTGGATCAACTTGCACCGGTCGACTCCGCAATACTTGGTTGGTCTAAACTATTTCTTGGATTTTGCTTTCGCCAATGCTGCCGTAAATGGTAAGATTCAGTGTCCCTGTCCTAAATGTAATTTCAAAAAGTGGCATCCCAAAGATATTGTTAGGGAACATTTAATCTTTAAGCCTTTTTTGCGAGAGTACGTATTTTGGCAACTACATGGGGAACGGCTAGATATGGGTGCTGAGTCAGTTCCAGTAGTTTCACGGATGGGAGTTCGAGTGGATGAAGCCGATGCCATGAATGATGCTGTGCGTGATGCTTTTGGTGTTCACGAAAGCTCGAATCCCAACGAAGATGAAGTAGAGGGACCTCAACCGGAGTTTCTAAGAAACGAAACTACTCGGGAATTTTTTGACCTCATGACCGAAGCTGACAAGCCTCTTTATTCTGGGTGCACAAAGTATTCGAAGTTGTCATTCTTGGTGAGGCTGTATCACATCAAATGCTTGTGCGGTATGACTGACAAGGCGATGTCCATGTTGCTGGAATTACTGGGAGATGCTTTCCCCCAAGCTGAATTCCCTCCATCTTTTTACGAAGCAAAAAAGATTATTAACAAGCTTGGCTTGAACTATAAGAAGATAGATGCATGCCCAAACGACTGTATGCTATACTGGGGAGATGATGCCAACAAAGAGATTTGTACGAGATGCAAGACGTCACGCTATAAGTCGGTACGGAAAGGCAAAAAGCAAAAGAAGAAACCGGCCAAAATTCTCAGGTACAAATTATTACAGCGTGTTACTTGTTCCGGCTCTAAATATTCGATATTTGAAATTCTTAAAACAATTGATTATGTCATCAATTTTTTTAAATTGAGTCAATATTTAGTATTTAAATATTTGGTATTTTAAATTTTTAATATATTATTTTCTTAGATACTTTCCTTTGAAACCACGGTTGCAAAGAATGTATATGTCATCAAAAATGGCTCAGCATATGAGGTGGCACGCGACTG